AAGGAAGGGTATAATAAAGTATTGTAAGTAAGAATTCAAATATTGTATTTTATTAGCCTAGTAATTCAAATACTATTGTAGGATAAAGCTTACTTCTACATCAGCTACAGCTGCTTGTTGTTGCCAAAAATATGCTTCCACAAGCATCTCGAAGAGCACAGAAATGTGAAACAGAATAAGAAATCTTTCACTCTAACTGCACCAAAAATGTTCAAAAAAGTAATAGTAATCAATAACTGGCCTGTAAAATCATTTCCACCGGTTTGTTCAGGGTGTACAGTTAAAGGAATACAAAAAACAATTGTCTTTGTCCACCATGTTGGACATATGTGGTGGGCGTCAGCCTTTTAGAATATTAAGCATTTCAAAATATTTTACTTTGAAGTCACAAAATGAAAAACGCCCTAATGAATTGCTTTGTGCAACTGTTTTTTACGTAACTGCTAATTCTGTGTGAGCCTCACAGGAGGATGTTTGGATCCTGTTTTATCTTCTCACACTGAAGTTTACCTGCAAATATATTTTATTTGCATGCATGGGTTGGGTCAAAGCCTTTGTCGAAGAAGATTAAAAAGGGCTTTCATTGTCTTTGGTCTTTCTCTGTCTCAGGTCACCATTAGCACAGCAGTTGTCAGTTCCCTTTTCCATTTACGAGATCTGTTATGGAAATGAGTGTGACAAGGATACGATGTTGGTTCTCACACACACACACACACACACACACACACACACACACAGCTCATAAGCACATGCACATAAAATCTTGTCTAACACGCAACTAGTTGGTACTATACAAATGTACACAGAGGTTACCAAGGACCTGAACAATAATAGACTACAGTTGAGGGGGATCTGATATCTGTGTGTAGTATGCAAATCTGATAGCCCAAGCACTACAATGAGCTAATCGCCCCATATCTTTGCAGATCAGGAATAATTTTTTGTTTACCTTTCAAGTCCCTTTATTGTGAGCAGTTGTTCTGCTTGTTGGACAAAAAGCCTTTATTATCCCTGTAGGGGTAATTTGATTCCACAGTGTGTGTATTGCAAAAGGCCCAGGACCACAAGTACATAAAGTACATATGCAAAATATACGGCACACACAGAAACAGGCACATCTTTGTGCACATTATGCATTTATATAAATGTGCAAGCCCAAATTCTTGTGTTTAGTGTGGTATTATTACTTTAGATCTGCTATGTCTTAGAGAACAAGAGCTTAAATATAACATTTTGGCTATTTTTAAATTCAAATGTTTTTTTTTTTTTTGGAAGATAAACGCAATAGTAGCAACCAACAGCCACGTTTTTCAGGTCCATACACCTTCAGCTCTGCTGCCAACACGTCAAAAATACTTGTATGTGTGTCTTTGAGTGGGCATATGTCCATCTGCCGTTCTACCATTGTCGTGGTGGATCCTGACCTCAATGTTGAAAGGCTTGTGTGTATTTTTCTGGCCTTTTGTTTTTGTGCATGTGTGTGTTTGTTCAGTCATTCTGTGGGGAGATGTGACCTCACCACTGAGAGTTTCCTCACATGCTTCACAGACTCGGAGGTGGGTGAGTGTGTGTATTTTCTCTGATTACGTTGAGTCCTTGTGCTTCGACGTCAGCTGGTTGTGACATGCGGGCTGGACAGTGAGCAGCTACAAAAAAAAACTAAATGGAAGAGCAGATCTGTTTTAGGACCTTTTGACGTAAGAGGTCTTGTATCAGTATCATATGTTGAGATCACAGTGTAGGAGTGAACTTTTGCATTTACTACGTGAGTTGTTCTGTACCCATTGTGCTTCTTGACCTCTATGTGGGAGTTAGAGCAATATTATATCCTTCTATTGTACAGTCTCTTCCAACAAGTTTCAAACCCAAAATGTCCCTGCTAAATGATAATGGATCTACCATCTGATAAACATATATCACTGTCTTCAGAAGTGTACTGCATGAAATACTATGTGTGCATATATGTGTGTGTGCTTTCTTGGATAAATGGAAAAAGTTTTTTTGACGGACTTGTATATACCCAGAGTGCACCTACTTTTGTTGGGTTGGAACTGATACTTGAGAAATTGGCTTAACTGGAAGGAGTTGAGACAAGGAGGTAGTTTTCTAAAATGTGTTTCTAAGTCTATGCCTTCATTAAATCTATTCCCAACACCAAGGCCATCAAATGTGAAAATCCATTCTTGACCTGGGGTTAAAAATCTTACCACAAGTTGGACCTATCATCCTTAGAAAAATGCATTGCATCAGGTACAGTTCAAGCCGTAAGGCAGACAAAAAGCTGGGAATTGGCATGCTGACCCTCTGCATTGCAGAGTGGGTCTAGGAATGTGAAACTTTAACTCTCTTAAGGACCTCCTAGACCTGGCCGCATTAATACAAAACAAGTTATAGTTTGGCTCCTATCGATTGGCAGCACTTGATCCAAACTCCTGGTGCGGAGTTGGCCTATTACCCTTCTGAATGTTGCCTAGGGTAAGATATGCCAGGCAGGTTTGAAGATATTAAGAAGGCACTGGTTAAGAGTTGCAATCTGGGAGTTCTCCCCAGAAGAGGGTCTTGCCTCTGCTTCATGGCACGCTATGGAGAGAAAGACTCTGACTACTGGAAGTAAAGGCTGTTAAGGCTGTATGTGCCTGTTCATCCCACATCTTCAGAACTTGCTGTGGGACACAGGTGGTGCAAGAAGTGGTCAGGATGAAGAAATATACTTTTGTGCTTGGTTAGTCCAGAACTGTCTGCTATGGCAGCTGACAGTTCTGAGGCGGCTAGGGGTGTTGTTAGTTCAGTGACTGCAGAAATGGGAAGAGTTTGGGAGGTTATATGAAGGAACACTTTTTGCTGACCTCATCAGTGTTTTAGCAGTCTGTTAACAGTCTGTAAAACCAGACGTGGAAATGAGGACTTGGCTTTTTTTTCCAAAGGGGAAGTAATCTGCTTTACTGGAGTGGAGATATTACAGAGCACTGGATGGAACACTTCAAGCATGAAGCGATCCAATAGGTCTTCTGATAAAAAGGCACAGTTCGAAGATCTCAGGCAATCCCCACTAATATCCTTCTCAGTGGTGCTTCAGTGTGCTGAAGGCTACAGAAAAAGTGACAGGTTTTATCTGACACACATCTCGAGTGTTGCATCTAGATCTGGGTGTACAAGTTGAGTTGCTTACAGTTGTCGCACCAGAGGATGTACTATTTTTATGGGGCTATCACTCCTCTTATTTTGAGAAACTCTGAGTAGAGCCACTGCGCCTTCAAAGTGAAGGACACAGTTAGGATGGTTTGGACATCTGATTAGGATGTCACCTGGGCAACATCTTTTTTCAAATTTTCTGGGTTGTCTATGAAGGGACCCTAAAGTACAGAGCATACTGTAGGGATTATACTGCATATCTAATCTGGCTTCAGAAAGTCTTAGAAGACCTGGAAAACTGAGAGGAACATCTGGGCTAAAAATGTTTTATTTAAGATTATTTTTTCGGGCTGTAGCCTCTATGGCAGGCCTGCTCTAATAACTGAACAGAACCAGCGCTCCAACATCTGGACCAGCTTGCAAAGCACTTCTGTTGCAGCGACCGGGCCTGAGTTAAGTAGAAGAAAATGAATGCATGGACAAAAGCTGATCACACCAAATATCTGTTTTGAATACTTGTTAATATCATGCACCCAATATATTAAAAGTAATACAATCTAATACTTAAGAGAGTAAAATGGAAAAACACTTCTTGCTGAATAAACCATGCTAGAAAAGCTTAGTGCAAAAACAACATTCACAGGGCACAGGATAGGCTAGCGGTTACATCGCATACCTTATGTACAGACGCTATTGTCCACGAAGCTGGCAACTCAGGTGTGATTCTGAGTGACCCTATTTCTGCATGTGATTCCCCACTCACTCCTTCCATTGTCCTACTTCTATCCACTGTTCTTCTCTACAACAAAGGCATACAAAACAAGCAAAAGAACTATTGAACGGTGTTATTACAAAACAACATTCATAAGAGGATATTGTCTACAGTAAGTATCAGAACCACCAATCAAATTGATTTACACAGACTTTACAAGCCAGTAAATTTAGTTACCTTTTGTGAATCTTGTAAAAACAGTTTGGAATATTTGCCCAAAACTACTGGAAATACATTTTATGGAAAATGTTCAAACGTTTTTATAGAACAGTTTTGGGATGAAATTAACCGTACAATTCAATGACACTGTGATAATTCATAGTTTTAATAAAAAGACAGCATCTTGCTCTTTGATTTTCAGATCTTGTGGTATAGGTTCCTAAGACAGTTCTTGACAGCACATGTACAGTGTTGTCCATCCTCTCTGAGAAAACATTTCCAAGTTCCAACATCGGATGTTCAAATAAGCATAACCAGTCTCACTAAATGATTTTGGCTGGTCCAAATAAACAGCTGCCATTCATCGTATTTACATGCTGTCAAACCAGGACTGTAAACATTTATACTGGAAAAGGTTTCTCTATTCGCACTGATTAAAGCTACTTTGACAGGTTGGGTGTGTTACAAACTGGTTGTCAGATATTTAAAACAACGTTTTTTTGCACTGAAGAATTGGCATTGTAGGAAGATGGGAATAGTTAATTTGAACTTTTTACATATAACTTTATTATTTTTAACAAATATTTTAGGTGTCTGACTCAGGAAAATGTGATCCCACAGAAGACAGACACTTTAAGTTTCTACTAGACTCAAAGTTTTCATATGGTGTTTCTTCCCTTTCCTCTGTCGACATTTGCTTAGCCTGTTCCTCCACAATTTTCCATGTATCCGTTATTTTTAATAGCATATTTATATACATCATACATCTTCTTGAATTTATGAATAAATTCACATCATGTCATAGTTACTGGATGCTACTTTTGGACGTCTTTTGTTATCGCCCACACAATTCACTACTTTGCGTAATCGAAACGCAACGCGAGGATACAAGAATGTATTTTTAGGACGGAGAGGACAGACAGAGGGCTGAACATAGAATACCGAGGTGGGTGGGCACATTTTCTCTCTCTCTCTTCCTCTCTCTGCACGATATAAGTGCACTTCTGTGATGGAGAAGCCACCCCACCACAGTTCATTTTTACGCAGAGGAGATGAGCGATCGGATACCCAAATCCAACCCGGCCATGAATTTAATATTGGTGAGTACGCAGAGTGTCTGCAGCCTTTCTATTCAGTCTGACTAGCTGAAGCACAGGGACTCTTCTGACTGAGTGGGTGACGTTCATGTTTTCGGAGTAGTTATTAAGACGCGTAAAAAAAATGAATGGGCTACATGCGGGTATTTGGGAATAAGCACACGCCTTGATTTATTTTCGAAATGATAACAAAAACGTTATACCACTTTTTTTGCAAACGTACTGCATGCGTCCTGTACAGCGAACGTGACGATGCGCAACTTATTACAGGTGCCAATCATTAGTCTGTGCATGGTGTCGCAAATGGAGTCAGATTTAGTGGTTTGACATCTCGACGGTACTTGGTTTCAGGATTGGTCTAATTCATTTATTTATTTTTTATTTTTTGCTGTTTTAAGAATAGACGATATCTTTCTTATGTGGGGGTTACTATAGTTCAGAATCAGAGCGTTTCCTTTACGCAGTAGGCTACTTGTTTATGCTACCATCAAAATAATTTTGTACAAAATAAAAAAGCTCCTATAGTGATAGCCCTCCACTTCAGCCTCCATTATTTGATATCGTATATTACCTGATGTGTCATTGTGTAAATGGACTTCTGTCTCTCTGGGAAAGTTTTTGGTCTGCTGTTAAATACAAGCAGTGAATGTAGGCTAAGCCAAATACACCTACATCCAGTTTGTAAAAGCTGACATAATTATGATGTACACCAGACAAAACAACACTTGACCGTAAAAGGCAGTACCATAGACCAACCCTGTAACATAAGCTTGTACAGGTAATTATCAGTTTTGTTGACGCTCTGAGGAGGGATGCCAAGTAAAGGCTGTCATTTTTTGGTTGTTTACTTAGGGGATTATATCACACTGTTAGCTGTGTGTGTTCAGGTCCTGCATGTTGACATATTGGAAAAGCATTGAATGTATTTGAATGTACTCTATTTCTCTGAGGACTCTGTGATGATGGAGAAAATTAATGTTTTTTTTTTTTGCACATACATGTTGAACAGTAAATTATTATATTGGAGGTTGTTAACCTTAGGGGATGAATGGGGCTCATGTTTTTTTTTCATTCACTACTGTGAATACTCCACACATGGACATACAAACAAGATCTTTGACTTTCATCTCTGATTTAGAGTTGACTTTGGGTCTTGTTGCTTGCTTTTACTGAAATGAATGAAACTTCAAACTGAAATTAGAGACCTGGCATGCTGCCTGAAAATTGTGTATTTGCTGAAAGTTTGTCATTCCACTAATTTGTCCTACACAGTTTTTAAATGTGTGCCTAAGAGGGACTGAGACCTGTTATTTCCCTTGGTGTGTTTTGCATGCTGTGCTGTGTTGCGGGCCTCTTGCAGGTTTTGCATATGTCCATTCAAAGATGTGTATCATTGCAGAAACAGATCAAACACTGTAGCTACACAAAACACTACCTGTCATTGTGGCCTGTGTGTGCGCTTCTTTCTTTGTGTGTGTGTGTGTGTGTGTGTGTGTGTGTGTGTGTGTGTGTGTGTGTGTGTGTGTGTATGTGTGTGTGTGTGTGTGTGTGTGTGTGTGTGTGTGTGTGTGTGTGAGAAAGAGTGATGCTATTTTGAGATGTGCAAAGTCAGTCTGTGAAATAGAAATGATCGGTGTACATTTTGGAAAAGTTTGATGTCATCTCACGGTTTTCCCTTTCCTGCAGAGCAGACTGCATGCTGCAATTTTCCTTAAAAAGGCAAATATTTTGTTCCTACAATTTCTGACACAGCATTCTTGTGTTTATCCAATATCCATTTGTCAGTCAGTCATTTTGCCAGCCAAAAAAGCATTTACTTTGCCAAACAATGAGTCATGAATCAGTCTGGACTGTCAGCAGCAGCCACAAAGTCAATTTTCACCCCTCTGAATCTACCATAACATTCGGCCTGTTTATGTGCCCGTCAACACACCAACCAAGCGATTCAGTCTGTCTGTAAGTAATTCTATGTTAAAGGGACACTCTACAATTTTGTGTCCAGAACATTGTTTAGGCTCGCAAGGTCAGAGATAAATACACCTCCTGCACCTGTGTGCTTTTCCTGTTTCCCAGCATACATTTGACACATGCGGCTGTGGTCTGTCTGCTGGAAACACACACCTTTTTTTGTTTGGATCATTGCCCCAGGATGATGTCAGTGGAAACTGGACATCTTTATGTTATCTCACCTGTATTATTGGTTTTGGTAAGAAGAAATGTGTTTCAAAATCTAAATTTTAAGTGGAAAAGTGAGATTCACATGTACATGCAAATAAGGAAGATTTCTAGCTTATATTTTCTATTAGTCTGCATGCATCAGTCCACCCACCTGTCCTATAATCCAGTAGGATTGTACTTTACCAGTACAGCCCATATCTGTTTTTTTTTTCTTTTATCTGTGCTCTCTTTATCTTTACTCCTCCTCTCCCACACTCTCATTTTTGACAGTTGGCTTAAGCTGCTCCAACTTCCCTAAACCTGCAGCCGGCTTTCAGGCATACAGTAAAGGCTTCAGAAAGGTCACTTGGCCAACGCAACTCCACATGGTTTCTTTTTTTTATTCAAGACAGAGAAAGGTTGAGGAAGTGAGTGTGACAGGGGGTGTGACGCTACTGAAACAATTCTGAACAAACAAGCACAAATGTTTATTCAGAAAGCAACGTTTACCTCTGGAAGTTGCTTCCGCACACCTTACTTCCTCTTTTCCATCAACAGTATTGCTGATTGCAGAAGTGTTTACAAATGTGAGCACGTTGGTGTGTGCCACAGTTGTGATGAACTCATTGATCTGATGATAGTGTGCGTGCGGAAGAATGAAGTGATTATCAGACAATAAAGAGCAGAGTTTAGGGAAAAGAGACATTACTGTTGTATTTTGTGTCTCTGTTTTATCGGTGTGAGTCATTAAACATAGCATGACTCATCTGATGGAAATGTCTGGAGTGAAAGTTTATCTAACACTGAATGTGTCAGTGAGTCAGGACAGTTTGGTCAGACCCTTTTATACAAAAGTGCCCTGTTTGAAATGTAGAAAGTATTTTAAATTCACTTATGTTTTTTGTTTGTTTTGTGCTTTGTGTCCATATATGGCTTGAGATATGATTTTGAGTTACCAGGTGGTGTGGGTGGCGGGAGATGTAATCACAAAATTTAACAAAGTTACATTTCTAGAATTTAAAATACAATCAGGTAAAAGAACAGAAGTATTATCAGGAAAATTAGCCCAATATCATAAGAGGAAATGAAGCTGGATATCCTGCTTATTAACAAAAAAATATTATTATATCCTGATATTAAAATATCATAATTGTTATGAGAATATACAGTAGCAGGAAAGTGCCAAGTAATTCCCAAATTAGGATCACACCTCCAAAATGTCACAACAGAAATTTGTAAGTATGCGTTTGGAACAATAAAGTGTCAAAAAGGAAAGAGGATGTTCTGCTGCATTTATTTGATGGTTTCATTGCTTTTAGCTTTCAAAATAAAGTCATGATTTGACATTTAATGAAAAAGTGAAAGTTGAACTTCAACAGCCTTTGGTAAAATAACAAGTTCAGTATTTTGTCACCAAATTTGTTGGAGCATTAAAAAAAATATAAAATGATAGCAATTTGTTTAAGTAGAAATACTTACTTAATGTATTGACTACATTCAACTCAACTAAATCTCATTAGCTTGCTACTTCAAATTGAAGGAAATATTTGTTTTAAATGGTTCACTGGTCAGAGTTTCAGGACATAATATAAATGAGTGAAACATATCTAACTATTGTTTTACAAAAGTTTTAATTTTGAATGCCCTTTGCCATCTTTCTTGCCAGACTAACACACTGACCAGCCATCCCAGCAAACATCACATTTGAAAAGCTGGGACTGATGAATTATTAGCATTTTGCTTACAAAATTACCTTTTTAAATGTCAAAAGATGCTGATTATTCTATTTTTTCAACTCTTGTCTTTTCACAAATGCAGCAAATTTACAGTTTTATCGTAGTAGTCCATGTATTTGCACCAAGATAAAAAAAAAAAAAACTCTTAAGAGGATGGACCTCAGGACTGCAGCATGACAGCATGTCCCCCCTCTCCCCGTATGAGTGAAAAAACTGATTCCATAAACACACACACACACACACACATGCAGAGCTGGAATCCCCCCTCAGACCACCTGCGTTCTACAGTTAACTGAAGCCATGTGCCTGCTGGATAAGCTGGTGACGTGTGGTTTGGTCCCTTTGTGCCATGGCTCCTCTCCTCATGCCATAAATTTAAATTTGACCTCAAGGCTCCAAAAACTGTGATTCTCCTCTTTCTGTGCATTTCAGTGCACTCCACGCTAAGAGTAACTCAAAGCATTCACCCTGTTTGTTGGACAGTAGTAGTGGCTAATATGTCCTGGAAGCGCTTTGATATTTCCACCAACAACTCAAAGGAAGCCAGGTTTACTGTTGTTTTTACAGAAAAAAAGGACTTTGTGATTTTGGTGAAGTTTTAGTATATTTACAAATACTCATTTTCCAGTAACTCTCCTTTTTAAATACTTTTTTATTTCATGTCATTATAAGTCAAAATCTAACTCCATCTGCTAGCTGTTATTTTTTTGAACATCATTAAGCTGTCTGAACTCATCTTTTTTGATCAGTGTTTAATGTCTCTTTAGTGATAGGCTTCTGATGAGCAGCATCTTAGCTCCAGGTTATTTATTCAAACAACCTATTTTTTTTTGTTTTTTTTTACCAGTGTGTGTTAAAATAATTGAGCTAATTTCCATCTATAATCTCTGGATGTTGGTTTTCTTTAAAAAACTCATCTAGAGAACGTGTGAACATTTTCATATCTATTTCTGTCAGGTGTCTGAACTCTGTAGTCATGCTGCCAGAGCCCATCTGTCATGCAGCTCTCGAAGTGCACTTCATTCTGTTTCCCCATAGAAATCTGCAATGATTACACTTCACTTTGGATGTCATTTTGACACCAGGCAGCTCATAAATAAAGCAAAAGAATCCTTAAAGGACATATAAACCCTGTCTCATCAAAGGACTGCCAGTATTTTTGGAAATGTTTTATTAAATGTGAGAGGTTTAATATTAAGGCCAAGAGACAGACTGGAATACACATGTGCCGTTGTTTGTTTTCATTCAGAAGGATAACATCTGTTAAAAAGTACATGATCTCTGTCAAAACTTTTAGAAGGACAAAAATAAAAACAAAACTGACTGCAAGCAAACAGTATCAGATGAAACTGATTTCAATGTATGAATTTTTCATGGGAACCATTTTTCGACTAAGAGATGCTCTGGGGCACTTTGTTTAAGGAAGCATTTTCTACCTTCATCCATCCTGTCCTCAGAGCTGGCTGGGCTCCATGTAGGATATGCCTCTTACTGAGCATCGCTCTGATGATGCTAACAGTATAATTAAGCTGTCAGTGGCCCCTGGCTGCTGTGTAATTTGGGTTTCCAGTGGTTCGTCCATGATGTTGTCAGATGGCAGCTTCTAAGGGGACAGGCAGGGTGAAAAGTTCAGTATCTCTTTGAGTAGCTGATAGACAAACTCACACTCTCACCACAGGACATCTTCCCACAAAGTTAATTCATAAAAAGTAGGAAGTTCTTCTTTCCCTTGCTAGCAGAAAGCTACTGTGCTGGCTGGCCTGTAAAAGTGTGGTTCCTCCTGAAGTGTGTCACAAAATGTTTTTTCTTTTTTTTAAACTAGATTTAAGAGACATTTTTTATCAAAGATCCACCCCAAGGCTCGTTGTAAAATTTAAGATGACATATTTCCATGAGATCACATGCTCCATCATTTTTTATCTCCTTTTTGTATTTGAAAGTACATTACATAAGCTGACTTGTATAGGTTAAACGGCACATGAAAATTAAAGTTAACCAAGTAGCCTGCATATATACAACGAAAGAGGTGCCAGTCTGTGCTCACTCCCTAATTTGAAAATAAGGAGGCTTAGACCATGGACCAAAGCATCAAAATATGAAGCCTAAGTGACCCCTCTACACCATTTCTGGATGCTGTCCTGTCGCTCAATGTTTTTCAAAGTTGGGGACCTGACCCCCAGGGGGTCACCAGGGGGGCACTAAGGGGTTGGTGGGAACTTTGGACGGGGAGAAAATTTTAACAAAAATAAAAATCCACTATTAACATAATTTCTGACGATAACATTTGAATATATTTACTTTTAGATGTTATTTATTGCAGAATATTGAAATGTTGGTGATTCTTTTCTATGCCAATCTTCAAGTAAGTAATAAAATAACACACCACTCTAGCCAATCAGAATCAAGCAGTCAAACTATGAGTGTCACTGATAGATCAGAAAGTTGCTGTACCTCTGAAAAGCTACCTATCAACAAAAGGTATGCTTTATTTTAATTTGCTATTGTTATGTATAAGGTATTGAATACATTTTGCAAGAGGGGGTTCCTCGCCAGAGAGCAATGCTTGATGGAGTCCATGGCATGGTAAATTTTGTGAACCCCTGCTCCAGCTTATTGTTGTGATGTGGCGTCAAAGTCAGGAGATGTTTTGTGAAGTGCCAGGAAGTATTTCTTTTGGGTGAATGATAGGTCAAACACACAAAGGACTTTCATCCAGGAGACCAGGGTTTGAGATGTGTTTGTCACCAACAGTCAGTAGTCATGTTAACTTGTTTGGAAAGTGGGGTGCTAAGATGTTCATGTATATGATCTCTAGAATATTTGTTTGCCATGATTCTACATAAATACAATTATATTTATTTAAATGGAAACTATGATCTTTATCCGAAACCAAATCAAGTAGTTTTGGTACCTAAACATAACCAAGCTGCAACCCCATGTACTCTCATTTTGTTGTGCCTTCCATACATAACTCTGAATAACTCAGCTGGTGTTTAGTCATGCTACTGTGCCATACATGAAGGCAATGAAAAACGATACACACTAGGCCACTTCCACATGGGCTCCGGCTCATGTGTGCTCCTGACTGAAGATAAATCAGTCCTGCCAGTAAACTCATCCTGCCTCCAACCATAGATTAAAGTGGAAGCAACAAATGTAACCATACCCACATAAAAAAAAAAACCCAGGTGACTGCCTGTCAGTCGCTTGGTACACTCCACCCTCCTGATGTTTCTAAATTGATTCGATGTGGTCGCAGAGCTTAATAGTGTGTATACACTTCTTAATTTGAAGAGCAAGACTATGATTATGGGTTTGATTCCCGCTGGGGCCACCCATGCTACAAACAAACACATGCAGCCAGATTTTTGCTCAGCAAGTTGCTTTGGATGAAAGCGTTCCACCAAATGCTGCAGAGGTCGATAGGTTTTGCCGGGAAAACCACTGGGCTCCCTGTTCTGTTTGAAGACAAGCTTTATATTTTGGTGCGCACAACCCATTAATCTCTTTTTTTACTGTCTTTTTCAATGACTTTCACAGAAAAAAATCTACACAGTGATTGTGCAGTTTATCCTTTGAGGATAACTACAATTAAACATGCATTATACCAAAATACATACACTGTAGTAGACTCTGAAAACCCAAAATACTAATGTAAATGGATAGCAGATCAAAGTAGAGTGGAGCATAAGCGGTATAGTCAGTCAGATATTTGTAGTGATTTTATTCCATTATTTAACAGGGACACATGCAAAGAACATTGCTTCATATGTAAAATACAAAGTAGATGCCATGCAAACAGGTTTCTAGCCATGGCTTTAGGATCACCCTAACCCCAATTTATGTCTTCTCTGCATAATCTACACACACAAGCACGCATAGAAACACATAACTTATTGCCAAATAATAATGAGCACACATGCACTTCAGTGCAAACACTGAAAATAAAATGCTTTCTTTACCCATGCATTCAAATGGTATTGTGTTTTGTGATTACAAATGTTAAGGTAAATAGAGTTAGTGCAAAAATATACACTGACAGGAAGGAGATCAATGGTGTGTAGTGGTTTAACTGCAGAACGGTATGGGGTGATTTTTTTGTACTCTAGTGGTAAATGGGGAAAGCCCAGTAACCTCCAACAGTTCTCTGTGTGAGGAGCAGCCAGGAGAGAAGACCACTAAGTAACACTGAGGAGGACATGACCAACACACACACACACACACACACACACACACACAGACATTCCTGCATGCACATGCATGGATGCTTTGTCGTTGTTTATCAAATGAATTCATTCATTTTTGAAGATTCTCATACAAACATGGTGAAAAGCATGAAACCTGCAAGCACACACACTTACACACACACACACACACACACACATACACACACACAATGCAAGGACGGCCTATTGTTAGTTTGTCCAAGCAGTAAGGATGTATCCCAGCCAACGGGAAAGTCCGCAGAGCCAATGGCGGAGAGACTCCAGGGTGTGAGGGGCCAGATGTGTGACATCTGGTCTGCATGTGGTCTCAAGCAGCTGCATGCTCACCAACTGATCTCTTACATTTTACATCAGGCCAAAGCTTTTCCATTTTCTGCTCTGGCGATGATACTCAGTGACTTCTTTATGAGGATATTGTAACATATGTACATATTAGTGGGTCACCAACAGCTACCCACTTTACACCCCTAGGTGTGGCGTGTGTCTCTACTCCAGAGCAGCTTTACACTGCTGATCAGTGTGGAATCACATCAGGTGAATTCAGTTACAAAGTTGCTTATGTTACAGAGCAGCTGACAAGGGTAAAAGACTGCTGGTGAGGTCAGGCATCACATGTCTGCACAATTATTGTCTGTAATTCTGTGTCTGACTCTATTTTAATTAAATGCAGATTTGGCATCACATAAACATCTGAGATCATTTAAACGCTTGAAGAAAAGTTAGGATTCCAAAAGAGCAGTAAAATACATTTGATCCCTTAATCAAGAGTAATAGTCAGGCTTAAATCCTTCTCACAGAATTTAGACTCAATTGTGGCAAAAGAACAGGATATTATTGTTCGTCGTCAAACATGCAAAGATTCAAAATCTACTGTTTTTCAAAAGCCCCTGTGTATTAATCCACATCCATGAATCTGCTCAGACTTCTCCTCTGTCTCCCTGCACTGCGCTCTATAAAGTAGAGGAAATCTCTTTAGGACTGTTTGTCCACCAGGAGCTTCTACTTTACAGTTGTGACCTTTTAGTCAACTCTTTCTTACTGGAAGCTTTGAGTTGGCGTGTTCTCCGAAATATGAAAATATTTCAAACCTTTAGCCAGAGAGGAGACTGAGCACGAGATGAGTTTTATTACAGATTCTTGTCACAGCTGTGGACTCAGCTCTAAAGCTCTGTTCTTCTTTTCCTCACAGCTCTTCACAGCTTCTCTGTCCTGGGCCTTCCAGCAGCAGGATGTACCGCCAAAGTACCAGTACCGTGACCCTGTGACTTCTGATCTCCTGCTGTGCGACCAGTGTCCTCCCGGTACAGCTGTGAAACAACACTGCACTGCTGGCACGCCCACAGCGTGTCAGGCCTGCCCTGAGAGGCATTTTGCTGAAAACTGGCATTGGGGGGACACGTGCCAATACTGCACCTCGGTACGTAGAAGGACTAAAGGTTCTCATCTTAATTCTAAAGTGCAGTTTTCTCCTATTTAAGTCTTAAGGTGTGTCATTTTAGTTTTCATTGAGTTAAACGTTTTCTTTGATTATACTTACAGTACAATTAAGTGGTTACATTTAATTTAGCCTTTAAATCATCGTCAAGTATTCTGATACAGTTTTCTTTGATTTCATAACTTTTTGCCAACTTTTTGTGGGTTTTTTTGTGCTATTTTCTTAGATTAATGAAATATTGTCGTACGATTTGGAGCGTATTTTAAAACCCCTATTTCCACTTGAGTTATTGTTACTAAAAATTAAAGTTTTGTGTTCATTGTGGTGGATTGGTCTTCCCCCATAGCTTCCCCCCTTGCAACCCTCAGTAATTGATGTAATATATTACCCATACTCTCCATTATATCCATGTCTGGCACGAGGATTCTTTAAATACCTGTTAAAGTTTTGCACTTCTTAATATTGTAAAGATATTTTATCTCAAAGACAGCTTATGGGATGAAAATAGCACTTACCATAACTTGCTCTGTTCGTGTGTGTCCAAATACAACATTAACAGTTTTTTAAAAATACATAATTGTGCACATGCAGCAGCACAGCCTCAACATGTGTGTGATGGTCTTTTGTTGTGTTTAGGTGTGTAAAGAGAGACAGCTGGTGAAGCAGCAGTGTAACAGCACCCATGACCAACTTTGTGAGTGTGCTCCAGGTTTCCACCTAGTGGTGGAGTTCTGCATTGCACACAGCACCTGTCCACCTGGCCACGGAGTGACAGCTTTAGGTAAGACGGAGATTAACACCCAGAAAACAGTCAAATATTTTTGGAGAGCTGCACACAGCATTTTTATTGTTCCTGTAAGTTTGTTCAGCATCTAGACAACACAGTGATCACATGTAGGTGTTGAGGCGGTGTTCAGAATTTTATATAGAAATTGCTTTATTTTAAATCTTTCATTTAATCCTCTTTTCACATGGTTTACTCTGTCACACTTGACTCTGTCACTCTTATACAGCAGATCAGATCAATCCTTTGCTTTTCTGGCTGCCAGGGAGGAATTCCCATACTGTGAAAGCAGAGACACACTTCAATTATAGACCAGGATTTCACAACAAGATGTCCTTTCCCTTGTACCACTGCAAGCCCCTCTCTTTTTTCTCTGTCTGCCTCTGCCTTTCTGTGAATCAGATCTGTTCCAGATGCAGACGCCTCCTTTCGCAGAACCAAAAGTTGTTTTCCCGGCCATGATTCCTTCTCAGAAACTGTCTCTCTTTTTCTCTTAGTCTCTCTGTCCCTTACAGACCAAAACAAACACACATACTATCTGGTGAGCAGAGAAATATGCACTTACTAGTTGAAGATAAATAATAGGAGCCCTGTTATGAGAGGGCTTTTTTTTCTGTGCATGAGACCATACAGCACAATATAATACATGTCCTTCCTGCACTTCCACACCTGACCTGCTCTGAGTTTTGGCAGTGATAGAGTCATAAACATACCCAGTCTAATTGCAGCTTTAGGGTACTGCAGAGATTCATGTTATTTCTGAATTCAATTCAACTAATCACCCATTGGAGAACAATTCCATCGACACAGCTCTTTTCATTTTTTTTTTATACAGACATTTAATATTAATAAGACTGAAGTTTTGGAAGCAAGGGCTAGTCAGTTGAATTCATTGTTAATTGAAAAAAGATATATAGCTGGATCAGGAGAAGTGATGTAGAATACTGGACCTGATTAACTAAGAGGTGAATTCTGTTTCAATGGGATTACTATTTTAAATTCTCTATTAAGAGGGGAAGAAAAAAGTTTACTAAACTTACATGTTTTTTTCTTTCTTATATCGGCTAAATAGTAGTGAAGGTTAACTGTTCATATTTGGAAATAGAAAAGTAATCCTCATATTGTTATAAAAGGAACTCCATCACTCTAAATTCAGCCTTTCTGAGAGTCAGCTGAGCTCTAACGACATCAAATAGCATTGTAGAGTCCCATCAAGGAACATCATAATGACCTTGTGATTAATAGAAATCAGATATAATGCTGTCATAGCTCATCACACCATGAGAGAATAGATTCTGTTATTGATAGACAAAAGTTCAAACATTGTTTGTCTGTGTGTAACCTGTATCACTGATGACCCAGTCATCTGACGTTTGCATGTATTCCCTGTAATCACACTTCCTTATACAGTAACACCGTGTGTGCGTACATTCTTTACTCAGTTTCATTGTGATTGATTCATGCAGTGTTTATTTGAGGGGTTTGTGTCGCGTGAAGGAAGTTGACCAGTTTCTATTTGTTTTCATGGGAGCTTTAATCAATCATATTACACATTGTTAACTGCGTACATTTTATTGTTCCTGATTCCTCTTGACCCCAAAGCCTGACTGTAAAAGAAAAAACTCTGCATTATACGAGTCATGATACAAACATCTTTTTAACTTCTCAGTACAATTTTTGTGTAAACCTTAAACAAATTTGAATCAATCCTTAAATGAAAAAGTTTTTTCACAGAAAGCTTACCTCATCCTTTTAAAGGCAAGTTCAGTGTCTTTGAATCGTTCCGCTGTGCAGGAGTGAAAGCCGGTGCTTTTACAGTGACACAGCATGGAGGTGTTTGGTTATGATTTTATTTACCCCCAAACCAAACTGCTCTTATGACGGCACAATAGTCTGTGATAGCAGCAGAAATAGTTTTGGGGGGAGCAACCAGTGTAGCCGCAGGTGATTTATATAAGCAATAATGGATTTTGTGGTTTGCTCAATATTAACAATCCAACTAGAGACATGAGATGTGAGGATGAAGTATGAGTTGGGAGACATGTCCATGACACTATGATGCAGATGTTTCCCAAGAGATTGGGAAAAGACTTGATTGTTGTAAGATGTCCACAATACATGTAGGTTTCCATAATTCATTACTGCTGTTTTTACCCTTAAATAAATAATAAATCTCTCTCCATAACACAATTATGTACGTGACATTTTCAGCAAGCATTTGCTTCCTCTTCATTTATGACTGTAAGCTTGAAAGAGGAAACTACATAAGTTCATTTATTATCTATAAAAAGGCATAACCTTTCCCTTCAATCCTGAAGCAGGGTTTCCTCTTGATATTTGCCTGAGTCTGACTGGCACAGACATATTTCCTACCATAAAGATTTCTTTGTCAATGAATCATAGGGTAACAAGGTCATTGAAAATGACAGACCTCTTTCTAATATGTTGACCAAAGAGGCCGACGAGGGCAAACATGCTGCAAAGATTGACATTCAGAAATGATGCAAATTAGAGAACTTCAAAAATGTGTTTTAAAGAAATTTCACAATAGAGATGTGCCGGAAATGAAACGATGTACTTCAAAAAGCTGAACAAATGAACTTACGGTAACCCTGCTGCGTATACAGAAAAGATGCAAAGTCAAAAACACCGTCCCAGAAAAAATGCAATGCAGCTGAAAAACGCTTCATATCCAGCCATCACAAGAGGATTGTGCTTATCAGCTATTGTAGTCAATTCTTGATACAATGCAAAGACGTATTACATTTAGATTCCCTTTTTTAAACTTGTTTATGCCTGCTCAATCTTTAGACTGTGGCTGTTAAGTCCAAACAAATTATTAAAAGTTCAGCTGATGCACATGAACTAAACATCAAATGCTTTTTTAGTCTTTTAAATATTCAGAGAAATTAGGTTTTAACATGCTTCAATCAATTAATCATTCAGTCAATCAATCAATCAATCAATCAATCAATCAATCAATCAATCAATCAATCAATCAATATTTGTATATAGTGCCAAAGATATACCAGAAGTTCTCTCAGGAATTGGTCAGATAAAGGTATGATGCACGTGCTTTTTGTCATGTTATTTACAGAGACTGTACATTATACCATCATGAGAAAGAACTTGGTGACATTTTGGCAACAGTGGCAAGAGAAGAAGCAAACTCATCGCTAAACAGCGATCTGCTGCAACGGTGGGGGCAGAGACACACAAACAGAACAACAAAAGAAAGTACAGACTTATTCTACTAAAATAATAACAGTTTGTATAATAGTAGAATTGACAAATAAAAATGTTCTTAGTCCTAAACAACAATCCACAGGGAGCACAAATGTCCTTAGATATAAAGATACAAAGTTAGTTATATGTATTCTTGAATGTACATATTTATAAAAGGTAAAGTCAACTTTTCATCTTTCTCAGGAAATATAGACAGGTAGATAGATATTTCATTTTATTTTGAAAAATCACAGATTCTCTTTCTTAGGTCAATATAAACCTCAGTTATAGTGTACCCTTCATAGTAGGGTCCAATTATTATTATTTTTTTAACAAGGAAGTCCAATTATTGTCTTCTTTTTACACCAGATGAAGCCTAACATTATTACATTGGATGTCTGACCTAGAATTGAACACAGATTCTATCCTTGGTGCGTCAACATAGTGGGCATGACAGAGATGCTGAATTTCCACATTCCTGTGTACAGATATGATATTCTACTGTAACCACAGAACAAACTGGCACCACACTTCTCATGACTTCATCTTAGACCTGATTCCAGCCGCCATTGCTGGATGAAACAACATTTTCCATGGAGTGTGGTTATAATTCGACCCCTGTAGCGCTGACACTGTTCAAGGATGAGACAACATTTTCCACAAATACCTCCACTGTGGATTTACCAACGGACTTGAAAGCCTAATGAAGCTCTGCAGACATGAGGCAGCATTTCAGGGGATTCCCCTCAGCAAAAACTGAAGGACTCATTATGTAATTTTTTGAGTTGTGGTTAAGACCTAAGACCACAGGATGTTAGAAAAACTGATGCTTCAGGCTGCCAAACAATCCTTCTCTTCTCTTCAACTGCTTATTTGTGTGCTTCTAGCTGTGATTCTTTCTCTGTGTGTGAATGAAACATCTGAATTCATTCCAGCTGATTTAACTGGGTTTTTTCAGAGACTGGTTTTATTGTTTATCAACTTGGAAAGACCCAATGAAACATAGCATAGAAGAAACAACCACAAACTTCATGAATGAAGCAACAAGTATTTGTCTGAATTTTTAAAATTGCTGAAAATTAAAATTTCCTGCAGCTTCAATTATAGACAAAAAAAGGCTGACTAGTATTTTTTATCTAATCTTTATTTAACCAGGTGCATTCTGAGGTTTAAAACCCGAGAATAAATAATAATAAACAAGACTACAAAGAGGTGCGAAAACAAACTAGGCTAATAATTAAGGCTAAGTCATTTAGCATTGTGTATACAATATGCTTACATTCAAATACTGACACTACAAATACTGACACTACTGTTAAAGTATAGAAATACTGATATTTATTATATCACAAGAAAACAAATAAGCAAAGGTCAAAGGTATCTTTATTGTCCCCACAGGGAAATTTGTTTTCAGCCGGAAACATACAAAGACAGCACTAAGAAATAATCCAACTAACATTATGGGTGCATAATAAATACATAAAACATGAAACATAAAAGCCCAGCAGAGATGTGCCAGCATCCAGATAAAAGCAAATCTTTAAAATTCACAAGTTAAACAGGTTTTGCATTATTTTTGCTGCAAACATACCTGACACAATCAACAGAAAACAGTTTTCAGTTTTCAGTTCATTGTGTTTCAGTGCTTCTATATATACAGTATGTATAGACCTTTCTTCATCTTTTTTCTCACAATAGTTAAGTGATTATTTGCAGATTTTTTTGCACACAGTCTGCGGAAAAAAAAAACAGATTAGTATGACTGAATGAAACTTATGACACTTAGCCTGGCACGTTTTCATGTCTGCACTGCACATGCTTCGTCATCTGTGCTTCTGAGTGCACATCAGCGGTTTCATGTCTTTATGCTAAATGGAAAATTGCTGTCACTGTGCCGTGAAAGCAGGAAACTAATTAAAGGTTAAATCTGAAAAGCATTACATCTCGTCCGCCCACGCTCTTTCACTTCTTCGCTAAATTGATAAAAATAAAATAGGTATGTGATCACACCATTAGTTCCACTACATAGGTGATGTTCATGTTTTCATATTGTCATGTGTGCAGAAGGTCACTTATCAGAAGATATTATGGTTTATTGTAACTGTTACTATATTGTCATGGTAACTGCCAATTATTATTGTTATTATTATTTTCTATTTAACATTTAACCAGGAAAAAGTCTTATTGAGATTAAAAATCTCTTTTACAAGAGCGTCCTGGCCAAGACAGGCAGCAGCACAATTACAGGGTTACAGACATAAAACACTTAACAACAATGAACATGAATACTGGAATCACAAAAAGAACCATTCATCAAAATCTGTCATAAGTCATCAGCAACAAAGCGATCAAAAAGGGCAATACGAGTTAGCTAAAACATCTACAGTCAGATATTTCTGCCTCCAGATCATTAAGACAACCTTTAAAAACATTCAAGGAAACCAGCTCCCGAAGATTTAAAGTATCTTGCAACCGATTCCAAGAGGGAGCAGCATACTTGAACGCCCTTTTTCCTAATTCGGTACGGACTTTAGGGATGGTTAGAAGGTGTAAATCCTGCGAGCGAAGATGGTAACTTCCATCACTTTTTTGAGGCTTAAAAGAGAGAATCATCAATCACAAATCCCAGATATCTGTATTGAGATACAGACTCAATTTCAAAGCCCTGAAAGGTGTTGATAGCAGGAAGGTTCAGTGGCTTTGATTTGGAGTTCGAGAACATCATGAGTTTTGTTTTATCAGCATTCAGCACAAGTTTTAAGTCACACAAGGTACGTTGTACAATATTAAAGCCCGATTTGGTGTAGGTGCAGAGCAGTATATCACAGTGTCATCAGGATAAAAGTGGAAATTTGCATTAATAACATTTTGATCAAGACTATTGATATATAAAATGAAGAGTAATGGTCCCAGGACTGATCCCTGGGGCACGCCTTTGGATACTACAAGGGAGCTAGAAGTGATGCCTTCTTTCTGCACGCATTGAGATCTTCCAGAAAGGTAGCTTTCAAACCAGCAGACCGCTTTGTCTGATAGTCCTACGCTACTAAGTCTTTGCTTTAGTATTGCATGATCCACAGTATCAAAAGCCTTTGATAAATCAATAAAAAGCCCTGCACAGTGGTGTTTGTTGTCTAAAAATTCTATAAAATCATTGACCACTTTTAAGGCAGCTGTAGTTGTGCTGTGTTTTTTCCTAAGACCTGACTGAAAGTCAGATAAGATATTGTTTGATAGTAAGAAATATTTCAGTTGTTCACTCACAATGGACTCCAGAACCTTAACCATGACACATCTTTTTAATCTCTCCCTGGACACAAACAAAATTTCTCTTATATGGAAATCTGCATTTGTTCTTCCCTTGTTGAAAGGGGGGGGACCCTACAGTCTTAAATAATTATAGACCCATCTCCAAATTGTCGGTGGTGCGATATAATCAGCTGCCAGCTTTAAAAAGTGAGTTTCTAAGTTGTCAGGACCTGCGGATTTCTTTGTGTCGAGGAGTTTGAGGGCTTTGAGCACTTCTGAGACTGTAATGACTTGAAAACTGAAGGATTGACTACCTGTAACATGTCAGTCAGAAAAAACAGTAAGGGAATTTATATGCCTATTGCTAAAAGAGTCAAACAAGGAGCCAGAGGCTATAAAATGTTCATTAAAGACACTGAGCATTTTGGACTTATCAGTGACTTTAAGTGAGTCCTTAACAATGCATGGAGGAAGCTCAATTCCATTTTTATTTCCAGCCAGGGATTTAATTGTCTTCCAGAATTTCAAGGGATTGTTTAATATTATTAATTATTAATTAATATAATACCAAGTTGAAATGCAGCAAAATGTCACTGATGAGTACAACTGTGATTAGTCAATCAATCAATCAATCAATCAATCAATCAATCTCAATCAATCAATCAATCAATCAATCAATGTTATCTCAAGACACTTTACAAAATTGCAATTAAAATAACTTACTGTTTGTTATATTATCTACAAGTGTGGGGGAAATAAAGCAGCATTAATACCTTTATGCATTAAAAGGCTTTATTAAATATAATACATTACATTCATAAAACTCAATATAAATCATAATAAATGAAACACTTTCAGTAATTCAGTTACTGTAGTTTTCTTACTTTTCAGACACGTATTATCATAAAATATATATATTTTTACATTGGTGTCGTATATTTTTGTAGTTATTCCATACTTTGAATGTTATTGCATGTGGTACTATAACTTAAGGTCTAGGAAGCTTTTCTAGTGTGTTCTCTTACTAGATTTTAATTGACGATGTATTTAAAAAATCAGGTCAACATTTTTTTCTTGAGAGTCATTCTGAAGATTTAGCTGACGAATCACCTTGCTCTGCGGGTAGTCACAACGTAGATGTAACACTCAACCAACCCGTGTGGGACTTCCCATTCAAAATCATGATATAGATACTAAGAGTGAGTCATTCTAACAATCACATAGTCGTCTGTCCCCATGATAAGATGTCATATGTCCATGTGGTTACAGTTCTTAGAAACTCATCATCTTGCTCTTTGATCAGCTTGAGAGTATGCTGCATGTCATGTTCGCACAATCAAAACTGTGATGCATATCGATTCAACTTTAAAGCTGTTTAAAGCACACAAATTCAGTGAAAATCATGTTTCTTACTTGTCGTCTGTTTTTCTCCTTAAGGTACACCAGTGAGTGACACTGTGTGTGAACGTTGTCCCTCTGGTCATTTCTCTAGCTGTGGCTCCTCCACAGAGCCGTGTCAACCCCACAGAAACTGCTCTGATTTGGGCCTGAAGACGCTGAGATGGGGCACGTCCACTTTAGACAGCCTCTGTTGCACTCAGGACAAGACTGCCTTATTGGACTGCTCTCAGCATCACACAATGTGCTATACAGGTGAGATGTTTACTCTGCAGTATGGTTTAAAGCAGTGATTCTCAAAGTGGGGTCCCAGGACCCCCAGGTGTCCGCGAACAATAGCTTAGGGGTCCGCGGCATAGTTTACAAACAGTTGTAAAAGTGTGCTATATCATTGAAAAAGCATATCTACAAACTGGGACCTCTTGCACCAATATAATCAGCTATTTTCTCCAATACTCCCGCCCACACTTGTGCCATTAAATCAATTCTGATGTAATCGTGACATGTCTGTCACTTCATAGTACACAACGATAAAAAACAACAACAACAAAAAAAACACCTCGGAGCAAACATTTTCTCACAGTTTATCAAATGAATTACTCGGAAAGTATAAATGTAGCCTAATTCTATTGTTGCAAAGTACTATATAGTACATTATTACATAGTATTAATAGCTTATCAACGACACGATAATGAGGGGGTCCTTGGAAAAATGTCTCACCTGAAAGGGGTCCATGGTCTAAAAAAGTTTGAGAACCCCTGGTTTAAAGCACTGTAGCAGCAACTCTAAGGGGGACTAATACAGCAAGGAGTCAGAGAGGAGATTGTTTTTACAGTGTAAACATAGCATTCATGCACACACGTGATGCTTTTCTGGAACAAACCTCAATTGTCAACAAGTTAAAATCAGTCAGAACAGAGTTATTTCAGCGATGTGGTCATTTTCATTCCTGAAGGCAGGGGATTTCCTTGGTCAGATCCGTTGTCCAGATTCCTTTCTTTTCCAAAATTCTAGCGTGTCTTAGAAAAAAAACACTAAAGAGTAAAGCCAGAGCCGAGGGTTCAAATGGGATGTTTACAGCATCGACTGTCATAACGACCCATGACGGATCAATTACTCCTCCAACTGTCATATCCTCTAAGTTCAATAACAGATGAAACTGAGTCAGGCACATGACAAGCTGGTAAGTCTTTGTTACTCACACTGTAACTATGGCAGATGTAGACTATTAATTCAAAAAGAGAAGCCTCAAATACGAATGAATCCCCAAAGTTTGGGAAACCACTGAAGAACACACACATGCAGATGTAGAGATCCCCGCACACTCATGCAGACTTACAAAACTAAGAAGTAAACACACAAAGCTGTTGTTCCTTAGGGGAAGTTGACGCTCCCCTCAAACATTCATTCACAAGTTGTCTTTCTGCAAACAACACAACCACAGAGACTCTACAGCAGATCCTGGAACAGTTTAACATTTCTTCACAAAAATGTGAAATTGAAAGCAGTTGGGATTCCCAAAGTTGCGGTGTGATTTGGAGAACCACCAGCATGTCCATGTGAAATATAGGGGAAGTCAAACTTAAAGTTCAAGACATCATAGGATCAAGCCACATTAACAGGAAATTCAATTATGTTACTCACATATTAGTTTTACTAAAAGGTTTTTTTTTGTGTGTGTGTCCCTGATGTCCTGGAAGTCAGTCAGACAACATTTTCACATATACGGGAATACACACATTCTTCCTCATTTGGTGCAAGCTGCAGTTTCATTCCACAGCTTAATATCTACTACAGTTTTGCCTATTCAGGCACTTTCCTGTAACTGGTGTCGGGTTAAGATTGACCAAAGTTAGAGCCAGAACAAAAAATAAAAAAATAAAAATGAAACTGAAACTGAAAATGAAGCAAGACCCAGGACACAATGGCTTGCAGAAATATAAGGCATGTCATGATGAAAAGGTGTAGGTGTTGGGTGAGGAGTAGCACATTTCAGCAGAAAGTGTATCTGTTTTAGCTTTTGCATGTCATGCTGATGTCAATTTGTGCATACAATGGGGAACAAAAAGAGAGGAAATCCTTATTTCTGCTGTGGTCACACAACACATGCGTAAACAAGTCTAGACATTTGACAGACTAATGTGTCTCTGACAAGATCGAACCATGAGGTTAGACACTGGTCTTATATCATATGTGTAGCACAAATGAACACTCTTTGAATAACACTTTTTTTTTTCATCTTTGATCATTTGTCAAATTGACAAATTTGTACTCAAAACTATAAATCTAGTAGACTATCAGTAAGCTTTTACATGCTAGAATAAACTGTAAAGGCCTGTTTCCAAAGTAAGAAGTGAGACTAAAGATTTCGCTGCACACAAGTCAATGTGACCACTATAGTGACTAATGATAGAAAATTACGTTTAACGTTCTACCATAATGTCAAAGATCTGAGTCAGTGCTGTCGGTTACACAGCATTTTCTATTTAAAGATCGCTAACACGAGACACATTAGCCATGTAATTGGTTGTACCAGACCGAGTCAGGTAGCAAGAAAAGCTGAGTATGATTTGAGAAAGGTTACATCTTATTGCTGACTAATCTAATTTATTTATTTTTTTTAAATATATTTTTGCCTTTTGTCAAACCTCAACAAGAACTGCACGAGTCAGTTTCAGTCCCCTGGAGAAACTGCAACAACATTATCGTTTGTTTTTTTATGAATTTACGAATCAAAGTTGTGTCTTTCTCATACATTTTAGATGTGACGCTTTGCGAGGAGGTAGTCTTCCAGTCCCTCTCCTCCCTGAGACTGTCCTCTGTGCCCCTGGAGCGACTGTTGGAAAGTCTCCCCGGGAGGAGGGTGGACCATAAGAATCTGGAGAGGCTGAAGAAGTCGTGTTCTCCCCAGCAGCAGGTCCTCCAGCTGCTGCGGCTGTGGAGGGAGCAGAACAAAGACCAGGATAAGCTGTATGACATCATACAAGGTACAAAGACAATTGTACTTCTTTAGTTTAACCATTGTTTCCCTTGTTGTCCAGTTTGTGTTTTAAAGCTTGCTTCTTTTTCTCTCTAGGTGTGAACCACTGTGAGAGGAAAGTCTCCCGCTGCAACAGCCTGAAAAACCTGACCCTCGATGACCTCCTGAAGGTCACCAGCAGCTTGCCGGGAATCAAAGTCCACCAAGAGGATGTCCGAGCAGTTTTCTCCACCTGCATGCCCAGCCGATGTATCCTGCAGCTTCTCCACCTCTGGAAGACAGCGAACTATGACCTGGACCTAGCCAAAGGTCTGTCTCACAGTCTGAGGGTGATGCGTAGCCAGGGGGCGCCTCGCTATCTGCTGAGAGGCCTGAAGAAGATCAGCCGTATCTTAGCGCACAAGATGTACGAGAAGATGTTTGTTAAAATGCTGCAGGATGAGTCGTGTTTCAAAGATCTTAAGCCTTTAAACGAATAGAGAACTGGAGGTACTAACTGGAATACACGCTACTTAAAACGTAAAATAACACTAATGATGACATCATCAGACATAACAACACAAAATGAAGACACACACTAAGTGAGCAAGGGGATACATATATGCAAGAGTTACAAAATGGGTCACATGATAATTTCAGGTCTTTCAGATATCATCAAATGATATCAAGCTATGCATTTAGTGTCGAGGTGTATTTTTTTCTTAGAGAAACATGAGGGCAGGTTTCTAACTATCAAACCCAGATTTTAAAAACAGAGTGTTTTATTTGTATAAGGAAACAAGGGATGCTAATAACTTCACCTACAGTCCATAATACAGGTCGACAGTGATGAATCTAAAGTGCCTTAAAAAAATCACCAATCACCAATCATCTGTATATTCCAGGCAAAACCCACACAAGAAAATATATTAAAAAAGGAATCCTGGGAACTTTTTTGAAAAGATTCTGTGAAAATGAAATATTTAAGATGTAAATATCACACCAATTTATGGAAGAAAGGCTGGCAGATATTTTGTTTTTAATATTATTGCTTTCTCGTTGATTGAGAGGAAGGATCTGGTTTCATAATGAAATCTGTGTTTTTTCTATAGTTGTCCTTTGTTGGTTTGTTTTGGACTGCTGGTAAGTAAAGCTCACCTGAATTATTTTGTTTTCTAAAACTGCCAGCTTTATGAATGTACAAAGGAGTGCAATGTGTTTTCTATTTAAATAATATTTTTATTTCTTTCCGAGTATGTAAAGGCTTGTTTTTATTACTTTTTCAGAAATACTGGATTCCAAATGCTGCAAGTTCACAAAGTGATATTTGTTTTTATATTTTGTTTGATCACTTTTATATTATGAAATGTACGGTCTTTATTGTATATATGCCTGACTGGTCCTTTTTAAGCTTGTGTAACTTGTGAACACTATTGTCCAATGATCTGATTAAAATCAGTTTTTGAAAAAAAAAAAGTTCACTTATTACTGAGCGACTTCAAACAGCAGATTGACGTTGGTCTTTTGAAGGGGGTTGAATGTAACTTAAGTATCGTCTCTCAAGTTTTTTTCTCTTAACCTATACTTGAACAAAAATATAGCATTTTTTACTACACTATAGCTACTTTCACAATTAAAAGTTTGTTTTCAAATAAAGTTCCGCTGCATGGGCTACACAATCTGCCACTGAAACCTTTAACATATGATCTCTTTTCATTTCTTAAACAAGGTTAGCCAATAGGAACCTGGACCATAACCACCGACCAGGAGCAAACAAATCTGTATTCACTAAGTACTTCCTCGTGTGACATCCATCAAATGATGTTGCATACATAATGCTGAAAACACAAGTTCCCACTAAATCTATCAACTGCACTGCATTGGAGTTTTAAACAGCTTGTTTTCTGCTTGGTGAGTATGGATGGGAACCAAACATCTGATTGTCCAGGATGCAGTAGGGGTTTTGAATATTTGCATTGTGATGAGCAAGAGAGATTTAGATATTGACAGATCAGAGTTATTTCAATACTTGATGACCCTTTCTACTACAGTATATAAAAGTTTACATTGTTTGCTTTTGGTTGTCTTTTAATTTTGGGGGGAAATGTGTCCTAGGCTCCTAGCAACTTTAAGCTTTTTTTTATACCTCAGATTCACGACTCTATAACTGGTTCTCAACATTTTAAGCATCAAGCATGTCTTTTCCTGCATTCTGATCAGTTTTATGCATTAACTTGTGTTTGTCTTTTCTTTTGCACAACTTGAAGATTAGTATCTACTCATTTGTCGTTTTTGTCCCTTTAAGTGTTTCTCAGAAATATATGTTCACACAGTGAAGGATGCATTCATTTTCATACTTTTATAAACATGTGGATTGGAGAGTAGTATTGTTTCTGCACCTGCTGAATCTCCCAAGTTTAAAAAAAAATATTTAACCTATTTATAGCTCATTAATTTAGTATGACATGACAAACTGAAAGATCCTCACAGGATCTTTCAGTTTGATCCTTGCATGGTTAAACTGTACGTAAAACAGAGTGATTGACCTTTCAAAGAGGTTGGATGAAGGCATTTGTAGTTATGGTGAGGTTACAGTCTGAACACAAATACCTGAAGTCCATAAGATGATGTTATGGTTAAAAACTGAGACAGATTAGGGTAAGGTTTAAAAATGATTTCTGAGTTTCTCTATTGGCGCAGAAAGAAAGACCTAAGAGCCACTTTAATGTAGCCTAAAGAATTTGATTGCTGTTAAACCATTTTCTAAATCCTCTTTAGAGGATTCTTTACAATTTGGATCAGCAATATTGTCATCTGGCTTTGAAACATCTTTTCCACATCACACATTTCAGGATGTGTAGGTGTCAGTCTGAGCCTGGGGTGTTTCAGTGGGAATTTGACCTGAGGTTGACTCAACAAGTGAGCTGCAATTATCTTATATTATATATATATTATATTATATTTTTTATTTCAGGTACCTACATGAGTTCAACATACCTCAGATAACATCTAACAGTTTAAGTATCAGGACCAAATGATCAATAAACTTAAATGTTATTACTCACTATATTTCTAACACCAAATGTTTTAAACTCTCAATACTGTCCATGCCATCAAAGCTTGTTGCAATTCATTTAACTAATATTTTGTCCTATTCTTTGATTTAATCATTATTTTCTATGTATCATAATCCGATTAATTTCAGTGTGGTATTAACCAAAATGTGCCAGTTGGCCCGAATCCCTTAAATGAATGATAAACTCAAAGTATAAAGGTTTTATTGTGTGTATACATTCTCTGGAGAGGGAGAAAGAGATTAAACACATGCACTATACTTATTTGACACTTTGCAATATTTGAAAACAATGTCTCTCCAGTAGCTTAAGCTCAGTATTATAATGCTGTACATACCATTCAGTGATTGACTGACTCACTGACACATTTTTATAAGTGAGGGAAAAAAAGGTGACTTATGGGCATGTTGACACATGTTTGCAGCTGTTTCAACAACATTAGATTTCCCATGGAATTTTTAGAATCATTTTGTAATTCAAGTGATTGCGCAAATACAGCTATTTTCATTACACGTTATACGTTTAAGAAGTTCAAATAATGTTAGTCATGAGCTCTAAAATAATGTTGTAAAATTGTTGATTGAAACTACTGAAAATTCAAAGGGTGTAATCAATTTGGGTCTACAATAAAAAAATATATTTTTTTAAGCTTTAGTTATAGATAAGTTATAGATGGAGCTACACAGAGGTACAAAATGTTATTCCTCATTTATTTAGAATTATTTTAGATCATAAAGATTGTAAACGAGTCAGTCTTTTTCAGATAATATCCTAATATTAAACCATTATTTAAAAAGGTGGGTGATTTCATAGTTCATATCCCCCACAAAAAATCACATTTTGAGGAATGTCAACAAATCATCACATTTTATGAAGATGATTTCTGTCTTCATAAAAAATTAATATGTGGTGCATTTCTCTCTTCTTTTAAAGGAGGACAGCCGGGCAGGCAATATCCAGAGAGACAGTAAAAGTTTGCAGTTGTGTAGTGTCCATTTTGGACACTTTGGGACAGCAGGACATTTGGATGATCTCTTAATAGATTGCAGTGAATGAGAAGCTGCATTCAAATCCGTTTCTCTAAGAAACAAGAGAAAACCAGAAAGGTTGATTGTTGCAAAACTGCTTTTTTATCACCTTAATTTTTTGTGGTGTCAAATTCAACGTAACTCTGTGGTCTGACCTTTTATGGTAATTTTTTTAATACTCATTACTCACAAACCACCTAAAACACCCACACATACATGGTTCCCTAACAGTAGAGTATAAAATGAAGCTGATCACTCTGTCAAATCCTCTTCAACTGAAGCAACAACATGCACGCCATCAGTATGGTGAGTATCATTTGGGACATACCTGAGTTTAAAATCACAAGAAAATATCATCTGATGTAGAGGCAGACATTCTTTTAAGTAAATCTTATTTTAATTAAGTTGTTAATTGACAGATTGTGTCAACTGTTGTTGTATATTTAATCATATTTGAATTATTTTGTATTAATTTTATTGAAAATCTTACATTTTAACTTTACTATAATTAGGGACTTGTTTCAGATGTTGCAAGATATTTTTGTCTTACAAAAGATGGCAGCACTGTTGAGGTCAAATTTCAAAATATATAAACATGTTAAGTGAACCTTTTTAGAGTCACCATTGGCTGTTAGCTATAATTAAGACGTGAAATATTGAAGTCTTGGGTGGACACTGAAGAGTCATTAAGGGAGAAACTTCAGGTCTAATACACTTCTTTCAATTTGTTGTGATGCTAGTCGGCTTATCCCATTTTGATCTGGTTGTTGTACAGGTAGTAGTAAAAGCATGTGCTGCTGTCACAATCAGTTGTCTATCCAATAACATTTAGTAGAAGTAAAGATACACCAGACACATTTTGGTAACCTGTGGCCTCTCCACAGCTGATCTTACCGGTGCTGCTCCTCTTCTCTGCCGTGCCCCGCTCTGTCTCTGATCCCACCTATGAGCGCGTAGACCCACTGACAAGGGAAAGCCTCCTATGCAACATGTGTCCACCCGGCACGCACATGTCCGCGCACTGCAACGCCACCACGCAAACCGTGTGTAAACCGTGCAGTAATGAGCACTTCACTGAGATGTGGAACTACATGCCCAAGTGTTTGTACTGCAACACCTTCTGCCAAGGCAACATGGAGGTGGAGAAGGAGTGCTCGGCGGTCAATGACCGGGTCTGCCGGTGCGAAGAGGGCTACTACAAGAGGTATGACTTCTGTGTCAGACACACAGAGTGTGGGCCAGGACACGGAGTTCACACCAAAGGTAGGCCTATAAAAATATGGGGAAAGACAGTTTTAGTTTTTGTGAACGACTATGATAAATATGATAAAAACGATTTGAATAATTAGGCCTACATGTTTTTTTTTGTCAAAAAAGGAATCAGTCAAGAAAACAGACGTTTTCTTTGACTATATTGTTTCAAACCCGTGTAAAAGATATAGCCTACTTGATCTCTGTATATGTAATCATTTTCTTCAGGTACTATACACAAGAACACAATTTGTGAAAGATGTCCTGAGGGCACCTTCTCCAACTCATCCTCTGCGCTGGAGCCATGCGTAAATCACCAGACGTGTGCCAGCGGAGAGATAGTGTTAACGTCTGGAACGATGCACCATGACACTGTGTGTGGCACCTGCAAGGATCTTGAAAGAGGAGGTTTGTACCTGCAGTTTAGGTTTCCTGTGTTTTTGCCTTACCCACAACCAAGTATGACAATTTAAAGATTGAATTTGAGGGTGATTACTTCCTTTTTGATTGTTTTTTGTTAGAACTCATGCATCACATCTTTTTTTCCCCAGGTGAGACACTCAGGACCGTTTTCCTAGGCTTGCTAAAAGACATGCACAAGATGCCTGTGGCAAAAATGAGGAAACGTGCGTTAAGGTGAGGCCACACTCTGGGATTCACTCCCTCCGCTCTCTTTACCTGTGTAGGCTATTCTACATGTAGGCTAATAAAAAATAATTTCCCACATGTACATTCATAGGTCAGCAAAGGAGAGGCGGCCCAGGAACTTATGTCCTCTCATGTATCTCATGAGAACGTGGCTGGAAGAGGCGACACAGGAGCAGCTGATACAGCTGAGAGAGATGCTGAAGGCTTTACAGCCCCTCACCCTGTCCGAAAAACTGGAGAAAACATTGAATGAGCTAAAGCAGCAGAGTCCAAACTGTCAGTTAACTTTCTGATGCTCTTGAATGACAGTATATTGGTGTAAGCAGAACAGATAGGCTACCTCTTTCTTTTATTCTCAGTTTGCCCGTCTAAAAACAAGTATTTTATGACATTTTAATAGTAATGGTTACTTAGACTATTAGAAGTGCATCAAAACATTGAAGCAAATACTGTGAAGTTGTGTATTGTGAAACTGAAAATTTTCTTGTCAAGCACACCAACCAAATAAAGATGTTGCAAATATGTTTGAATCTTCTGTTGTAATTAACATCTCAAGCAAGACACATTCTGAGGCAGCGTACAGCATACATGGTTAAAGAGCTGTGATTTACCCAAAGTGCCCAAAAGGTGTCGCCCTCTAACCTTGTTAGTGTACCTTGTGGAATAGCTGCCACACATGACTCAATTAATTTGGGGTTCTTGTAACTTTATGGGAGTTTTCACAGTGCATAAGCTGCATATTGTAATTGGTTGTAATCAATCAATTTGGGTCTACAATAAAAAAATATATTTTTTTAAGCTTTAGTTATAGATAAGTTATAGATGGAGCTACACAGAGGTACAAAATGTTATTCCTCATTTATTTAGAATTATTTTAGATCATAAAGATTGTAAACGAGTCAGTCTTTTTCAGATAATATCCTAATATTAAACCATTATTTAAAAAGGTGGGTGATTTCATAGTTCATATCCCCCACAAAAAATCACATTTTGAGGAATGTCAACAAATCATCACATTTTATGAAGATGATTTCTGTCTTCATAAAAAATTAATATGTGGTGCATTTCTCTCTTCTTTTAAAGGAGGACAGCCGGGCAGGCAATATCCAGAGAGACAGTAAAAGTTTGCAGTTGTGTAGTGTCCATTTTGGACACTTTGGGACAGCAGGACATTTGGATGATCTCTTAATAGATTGCAGTGAATGAGAAGCTGCATTCAAATCCGTTTCTCTAAGAAACAAGAGAAAACCAGAAAGGTTGATTGTTGCAAAACTGCTTTTTTATCACCTTAATTTTTTGTGGTGTCAAATTCAACGTAACTCTGTGGTCTGACCTTTTATGGTAATTTTTAACATAACTCAACGTAACTCACAAACCACCTAAAACACCCACACATACATGGTTCCCTAACAGTAGAGTATAAAATGAAGCTGATCACTCTGTCAAATCCTCTTCAACTGAAGCAACAACATGCACGCCATCAGTATGGTGAGTATCTTGGGACTATAATTAGGGACTTGTTTCAGATGTTGCAAGATATTTTTGTCTTACAAAAGATGGCAGCACTGTTGAGGTCAAATTTCAAAATATATAAACATGTTAAGTGAACCTTTTTAGAGTCACCATTGGCTGTTAGCTATAATTAAGACGTGAAATATTGAAGTCTTGGGTGGACACTGAAGAGTCATTAAGGGAGAAACTTCAGGTCTAATACACTTCTTTCAATTTGTTGTGATGCTAGTCGGCTTATCCCATTTTGATCTGGTTGTTGTACAGGTAGTAGTAAAAGCATGTGCTGCTGTCACAATCAGTTGTCTATCCAATAACATTTAGTAGAAGTAAAGATACACCAGACACATTTTGGTAACCTGTGGCCTCTCCACAGCTGATCTTACCGGTCCTGCTCCTCTTGAAGGGATTGACATCATGCTGGGGAAACAGCCTTATTTGCATTTTACAGGCAAAATAACGATATCATTTTGTGAAATAACTTGTAAAAATACTTAAATTTCCAGATGCACATGACAGCATCAATGTTGGCATTTGCTGCTCTTCACACATAAAGATGTACACAGCAGGCTGTGTGTCTCTACTAAGCCCATACCCTTATGTAGGCGGTCGCAAGCTAAATGGTCTGGGAACCTTTGTGTTCAGCCCTTTACATGGGATTGCATGTCAACTCCTCAAAGACCGCTAGAGGTCACTGATTCCCCAATTTTGGAAGGCGCTATGGGAGCTCACAGCTCATTAATATTTGGCTGACACCACCGCCGACGCCCCCCTCGTGCCACGCCACACCGCCCCGGCATCGAATCGGCTCCCTGACTGTCGCATCACGGAGCGGGGAGGGGCTCCGGTGCTCACTATTGGCTGCTGCTGTATTACCGACGACAGCTTTACGGTATAGGGCAGCGGCCAGAGAGGATGCTACTGAGAATGATTGTGGTGAAGATGATTTTATGGGGGATCTAGCGGGTTCGTTTCCTATTTCTTCAGCTTACAACCTCTGGACGGCGCGTTGTTTGTACCAGACAACATATGCGCCCGGATGCGCCTGGATACATTGTCCGGAGAGGAGCATGTAACCGGGAGTCACGCACCGGCGGCGGCGGCGGCACCACCACCTGACTCTCCTTGTCTCCTCTTTATTTGAGGCTTCTGGATGTGTTGACTGAAACCCTGCTCCTGATTTTGCCTATTTTTTTATTCAGCAAAATGAGCGAAGAAATGTCAGAGGTTCCTAAAGAGCTGCTGGGTAAGAACAAACACGAATCGTTTGTAGCCATGTGTGCAGACAGGAACAATCACTGATACACACTTTAATACCTAAGTGACTGTGTGTGCAGCGTGCATGTGCTCCTCTGTGTGTTTGCTATAGAATCCTTACTGAACTGATACCATATATCATATCTGACAGCCATATTAATGTAGCTGTGACACATATTAATCCAAGAGATACATAATTGATAGCATCCAGACCAGGGGAAGGTTTATTATTATTATGATTTTTTTTTTGCAGTAATAAGTATCCCTTTCCAAATCATACTATAGCATTACCAAAACACATTTTCTAATGGTGGAACAGTCAAAAACAGAACAGATGTTATACAGTAGGCTACTGTCTTGTGTTCAGACATACAGTGTTTGAACTGCAGTAAAGCCTGAAGCTGTTTATGCATGAAGTATATACAATAATGTTGATGAAATAAATGTCTGTACTGTAAATGTAATGTAGACCTCAGCGATGAAAAGCTAAATAGTTCAAGGTGTGAGTGGCCATCCTGCCACCTATAGTTTACAGGAGCATTTCCGCCACAGGAACCTGTAAACCTCACTCTTCCTCTCTTTTTTAGCAAATGTCTGCCCTTTTCCTTGTGGTATATTTGCCCTGGTTGTGGACATGCACCTTAAAGTCCTGCACGCTGTTTGGCTCAAGCCCAGGGTTTCTTTGTTTGGCAAAGTAGCTCAGTTTTTGACATCTCAGTGCAATGTTGGATGAGCACAAGCTTGTGTAGACACACTCAAGCCTGCAATGTTCTTTTGGCTCAGTTTCTCCCTTTTTTAAGAGAGACAAAGACAGCAGCAGAATGTAGACGAGGCTTAAAAGAAACTGCCAGGTCATGTAGTCACATGGTCTGGCATGCATTCATTCACTGAGTCATGGAATTTCTCAGCGAATCAGTCTCTTATTTATATCCATCAAAGTATCTGGTTTAGTTATTTATATCCTGTGCCCTCTCACAACAACACTAGTTTCTAATTTCAGTTTTATGTGGGTTTATTCCCCTAAATATTAAAGCACACATGGCACACTTCTTAAACCTTTTTGCCTACATTTTTTGTTTAGGTGTTGTTAAAATCTTCTCATTTAATTATCTGTGAAAGTTTAATATTCTGTTTATTTAATTTCAGCTTGTTTCAGCTCCTCATTGATTCTTAACGATGTTAACAGGTCTCAAGATCTGCAGGTCTCAAGATCTATCCCAGATTCTTTATGGTCCAACTTCCACTCAGGATTAGAGTCAGTGAATTCTCTTTCTTCATCCCTTTTCGTCAAGGATTTTCCTGAGTTGAGGCAGCTAATTTGCCCAACGCTGCACTGCACAGTTTAACTTGAGGAATCCATCTGTCATGTGGATCATGTCTTGTGGTGTTGCCTGAACGAGCTCTGATAACCAGCCATTGTTAGCAAGATGCCTCCGAATGAAATGATAAGCAAAAGTTCACAATTAGAAGAGGATGAAAACAGTAGAATATTTGCATGTGTTTAAGTTCTTAATAGTTATTTTAGTTAAAAGTATCCTTATACTTTCTTCGAGTAGAAGACAAAGGAGTTGAATGCACAAAAAAAGCATTTAAAACATTTTAAATGATGTCTTCTATCATTTCTGGGAAACATTTTCCTGTTTGTGATAAGACGCAGAAGACTTGCCTATCAGAGTTCAACAGGCGCTTATAGCTGCATGTATCTTTGAACAGTTATCGGTGTCATGCTGTTTAAAAAAAACAGAAACAGGAAACACTTAAGAGTTGGATACATATTTTTACAAAGATGTAAAATTCTGCCTGTAAACACGTTTTCTATTGTAAGAGCGATATGCTGCAGCTAGAGACACCATTCAACAAGAGAGTTTCACATTCAGTAGTTAGGTACTGATCTGAGTGAAAATGTGTGATTTCATCTCTGTGATCCTGTATTTGCTGTTAATCTTGATTAGAATTAGAGGCAGACACAAGTGTTTATCTTATTTGATTTCTCTGAAAACAGAACTGTTTATCTTCACTTGTGGTTTTAATGTGTTTAACGAAACACAAATCTGGATTTGCTGCGGTTCCATTCATGGAAGAGTGACTTTATAGGCTTGTGAATCATTTGTTTGAGCTTCATCAAAGGCCAGACTTCTCCCATTCACCTACCTTTCACACAAGTCCCTGGTGTCATGTTTGTGCAACCTAATAGCTTTATTTGAGAAACAGGGCAGCTTTCTAGTGAAGTCCAACCCCTGTCAACATTTTTCTTTCTTTTCTTTTTTTAAAGAATGAGAGGGAAAATTGAATTAGTAGAAAATGATATATGAGGGTGTGTTAAGAACTTTTTTCTGTCTGGGGCTAAAAACCGCTGAGGCTCATGAAAATGAATACTAGGTTTCATTATATGTAAAATGCACATTAACAGCAGAGTTCATTTAGCAAATCTGGAAGAAGAACCACTTTGCACTTTCCATAATTATTTGTTTCACTTTGATTTGTTGATAGTTTAAGGATGCCTGTGGGTGAGAGCACATGCATGCAAGCCCAGATGTGCACACACAGAATCCCTCTCTGTCCCAGACACTTGTGCACAGGCTGTGTGTGGTGGTGAATGAGGAGCGCGGAGAGGCTGTTGACCCACTTGTGGTCTATAAGCCAATTCCCTGGCAGGGGAGGCTGTTTCTCTCAATTGATCAGAACAGCAAAATGCACACAGCAGCATATTTACAAAAAGTCAAATTTATTCTTGTCTCATGCGTTGATTGATGTTAATCAGACTGAGGTGCACCCATTGCAATTTCTGTTGGCCGGTTTCAGATTTTTTTCATGGTCTGACGCATAGTCTGACATGCTGATTAAGATTTTTGCAGATTCCCTTTTTCTTTCTTTAAATCATTATTGATGAGAGCAAAGCAAACATTTTTTCTAACTCTTTAGGATTATTGGTGCTGAGAAGGTGGGGCGAGTAGTGTCAACATTTTACCAAATTGTTCTCTACATAATTCTCGACAGTAAACAGTAGGCACCTTAGTTGAAGTGTAATAAAGAGTTCACTGAGTGAATGTTTCTGGCATTGATGGATCCTAAATGGGAGGCTCATAAAACAGTGGGGGTAAGGTTGAAAACAAACTGAAGATGTTAGCATGGCTGAAAGGCAAACAGCAGCAGTAAACAACATTACATTTGTTTAAAATACTGAATCTTTATAAATGTTGACCTCTGGAACTAACCATTCAATAAAATGTGCTTTATTTCTACATTTGAATATTGTTAACTGTTAATGGGGATGATGAGGAAAAGATGAAAACCCCAAATCTGACGTTGGGAAATTAGTATCCGGAGGACAGATTTCTGATGATTAACAGAAATTAAATGAATATGAGAGGACAGATTATTCTACTCATGGTGTATATTCCCCCCCCCCCATAATTAATACTGACTCAATTCCAGCTTGTGATTCATGTTGGGAAGATTTATCTTTTCTTCTGATATATTCAATTTCTCTTTTTGTTTATTTTCTCAATCAAACTAAAAAACAATTTCCATTCAATGTGCAGATGTTCTGGGTCTTACTCTCTCCTTATTTCATCTCCTGTCCTCCTTTGTGCAGAGAGTGTGAGGGACGCGGTGGGGAGAAAGGTGAAGCTGTCGCTGAGGAAAAGAGTCAAACTGGAGATCAAAGGAGACAAGACGGAGAACAGAGTGTTGGTGAGTCGACTCTTGTTGCTTCCAAGCTTCTTGTTCATTAAGAGAAGGACAATCTGTCAGTCCTTTTGCCCCACATTTCTCTGCTCTTGAAAAACACAGTTTTCATTTAAGAACTTCAAAACCTTGGCGCTCTTCTCCCTCTTATCTTCAGCACTCATTATTTTAACCTTCACGCTGCATATTACTTCACTGCATTATCACTGTGTGGCTTTCCAGTCTCACTTTGATTTTCTGTAAATCAAAGAAAAACAGACTGTGAGAAATGGTGTCAGTATCACCCCGAGCATTTCTTGTCTCATTTAGTCTGAGGGCTGTTTGAACGGGCTCAGCTGATCGAGCAGTGGCATTGTAGAAAATGTCCTATTAGGAACATTTCAAAACTGTTTCCAAAAAGCATCATTATCTCTCAGTCCTGCTGGTCACTTTCAGTTTAAGTGGAACCAGCTTTAGGATCCTTAGAGCTCTCAGTCTTCATGAATTAGAAGGTTTCATAAAGCACTGCTGGTATGCTCCCAAGTATCACAGTTACGTGAGCATCTCTGTAAGGTCAAGACTCTAGACACAACCTTGAGAAAGTGTTTCACAGGATCTGAATGATTTATCACAAAATGATGAATCTGACTTAAATGTGGAAATAAATGCCAAGGACGAGGACATATCTAGTTACGTATTAAAACACAGAAAACATGTTAATCTCCTGAAAGTTCTTGCCTGAAGAATATTAAGCATCTTTCTAATTTTTTTTTTTTTTTTGTGTTTGTGTAAATGTTCACGTTTATGATGTTCAAAGGTATGTCATGTTAGCTACGAGCAGGTAATGTTGTATGTGCACCTGTTAATAAATAGACAGCAAATAACTGATCAATTCCATACTGAAAGGACTGACTTAAAAATGTGAAGATTAACGAGCAATTCTGGCATTTTCTGTGATTTCAAAGCAAATTCGTTGACTTTTGTTGCTTTCATGCCAAGGAAATCCACTCACATCTTACGGTGTGTCTGTAGTCTAGGTGGAAAAAGCAGCTCAGATCATTTACTGCCAGCCCCTGAGCAGTAAGTCCATTGGATGCTGAATAATTAATACCTGGTAGATCATTAAAAATGCATATTGGCTTTTCTGGACCCTAAAACAGATCAGAAGAGGACAATAGTTAAGACAGTCTAGTTCTTTCATTAAATCCTTGTCGAGCAGGGTACACCAAGTTTGATCGTTGAGTCAGAGGCGTTCAGTTGAATCTGTGCAATGTTTCATATGTGCGTCTGAGTGTGGAAATGGCAGGAGCCTTTTAGTTATACAACTCTCAGTGGAATGAGAAGCTTTTAGTTATTCAGGTCTGTGAGGAATAGAAAAAAGAAGTTTGAAAAGCTTTAAGAACAGGCCTGCAGAGTAAAAACAATTCTGCTTCGGGACATTCACTGAACTATCAGACTGGCCTGTGGGCGTTTTTAACGTTTATCTCCAGGCATTCGTAATCACTGTAGGAACTGAAATATTTCATCTAAGGACAAAAGGAGAGGAGAGGTGAGAGAATCCTCATTTCTTGTGCTCTAAATGATCTGGCAGCATGCGAAGGTGGGAGGAAGCAGGGGAGTGTTTTCTATGCAAGGAAATTGTTCTTGTCAGATCGTGAATGTAATAATTAACAGGAGACACATTTACACTTGTTGTTCTAGTTTAATCCAATTGAATGCAGCAAAGCATTCATATTAACTTTAAGGACATTTTCAATATTTTCAGCCATTCTACCACAACTCTAAATAAAGTTTTTACTTTTCATAAGTCTCTCACACTCTTGCCTTCAAATCCATTCTATGAATAAAGTAGCCCACTGGATTAGCTACTCACTGAGTTGGTGTAACCGTGTCATGCAGGTAAAGTTACTTAGTTACAGCGTGATGGTTAACATAGATTACACATTAAAGTACCTTGGAAAGGACTGTGAAAGTCATTTTTTCATTTGGCTGTACGTAAATTGTTTAAAAAAACCAAACATTTTGCAATGTCTGATCAGCTGTTCCTTACACACAAACAGTCAGCTGCCCCACACTTTTCTGTGTTTAACACTTAAAGAACTTAGCTTTGCATTAGCTTGGCAGCACGTGAGCTATTACCATAAATCAGCAGCGTATGTTAGCCAAGTTACATACCCCTCAGAAGAGACCACCAGATAGCTAACCAGCAGTTCACTTTAGACATGTTTAAACTCAGCATTTCAAATCAAATGTAATTCTTTGTCCCGTCTTAGCCCCTGTGAGCTGATGAACCCAACATTAAACATTGTTAACTTAAAATGTATACATAAATCAACCATTGTGATTTATTTTGAATTGTTGTGAATAAAGACAATAGTGTCCACAGTGGAAGGCTTCAGCCTTGTCCACTGTGTTTGGTGGCTCTCCCAGCACTGCTGATGTTATGTTTGCGGCTGCTGCTGTTAGCTGGAATAGCTAGAACACCATGTTTCTCGTAAGTGATATAGTGATCTTGCTGGCATCCCAAAGATCCATATCGTTCTGCATGATATGATTTTTTTTGTCCATACTTCAATTTACCTCCAAAGTTTTTAAAAGATTTTGACTTTCCCGATGAGAACTTCTGTTTGAAGTTGTCTATCCTTGTCACATAAAATTATTCACCCGTGATTTAGCCACACAAATAAAGGTCTGTTATATAATTTTTACACTATAACGTCAGTCAGTCAAAATAACTGGAGACAAGCCGATACTCATTAGTAGTTCAAAGTAAAAGTGTAACTGTCAATCTTTTGGCCACTGTGACCAAACCAGACTAGAACCTGAACATCATTCATAAATCTCTGCTTAAACCAAGTCCAACCCATCGGGTTCTGATGGGTCCCTGGGTCGAGTATCCACCCTCTAACATGGATGTAGCTCTGGGAAACTTCCCAATACTGTAAATATCTTATATTTCACCCACATTCAGAACGGATACAATTATTAGAATAAATTATGACCCAACTTGATATCTATTAAAAAATGGTCTCAAGGTACTTAAAGAAGAACCCTTAGAGATATCTTGCTCTTGATCTCTGATATGATTAAAGGTAGCACAGAAATTAGCATGGTTTTTTGTTTCTTTGCTTCAATTGTTTTTCATCAGCCACTGTAAAATGATACCAATTAAATCTATGTTGCAAAAAATCACAAAAAATGAATTGATGGTCCTCATATGATTAGCATTTTTGGCTGTAAATGAAAAGTGCAATAACTGTTTTGGCTTTGGAAACTCTGGAAAAAAAACAAAAAACAATATTTATTACTCTATTTAGTTCATTTGCTTAGTTTGGGCCTAACTCTTTTCACATGCTTATGACAACAATTTTCCCTTGTAGGAGCTGAACACAGTGAACAGAGGCCAGTAGTGCACACATTCATATAAAACAATGCAAAGGAGTGGGAGTCAGTACTGGGAAGTGAGGAATTCCAGTGGAGTGGTTCTGGTATTCCAGACGCAGGGCATGAGAATGACTCGGTGAGTTTGTATCAACGCGCTGCTTGACCGCACTGAACAAATAAACCTCTGTTTGCTGTTCTGCACAGACACAGGGTTTGAGAAACGGATTATGGAGGAAATGGCTCTGAGTTAACACAAGTGTGTCAAGGACTTTTAGCCTGCAAACGTCTCATGATGAGAAAATTACATTCAAAGAAGTTACAGTTTTATTTGCCATCATTGTGAAGATATAGATGTCGAGTTTAAAGTGCAATAGAGTCCTGAGGGAAGTACAATGATCACTCCTCTGATTTTACACAACTCTCATGTTTCTGAGAGTTGTTGAATATCTGTTGTGGGTTTGTAAGGGGCCTTTTTGAAATGTAAAAATAACTAAGATGGCATTCTCTGCTTGGGCTTGAGCACTCAAATATTTATAAGAAAACAAGAGACACAAACTGTATGCTTGAGTTGGTTTTTTCACTTTTCAAGAAGGGACTCAAGAAGATTTAGCTCTCACGTGTTTACCCGTTCAGCGTTTTGGGAAATAGAAGTCTGATGAAGTTTGAGAATTATTGTAAATCATGATGATTAAAGACAATCACCTTTAGCTTCAGCCTATAATAACTTTATGTATTTTAACACTGATCAGAAAGACGATAAAATGACTGAAGTAATAATAAAGCTGACTGCTTTTTAGAGTTTTTACCAGCTCAATTGTTTTTCATTTAGCAGTGACATTGTTCTTTTCCCCTTTGTAACCTTGAAGTGACTTTGCTAATAATCCATGCATGAAATTAGCTTTTATAAGCAACAGTGCACATTCCTAGTTAATATGATAATATACTATAACTATGATTATAGATAGAATATCTACATCATCTTCCTTTGTAACACAGTCCAGATTTGATGTTATTAGTTGACTTTTATTGAACATCTCCTGTCAGCTCCCTGTAGCCACATACATTAAAGAGCATGTTTTACTGCAGACAGTACAGTGACTCTATCTACGTTATAAACGACACGTGTGATGAAGGGGAAAATATGGTGATTTCCTTATCACTTTGCTTGTCTGTCAAACACACAAAGCTTTCTCCCGTTTTTTTTCCCCCCGCCAAGCTTCTCTCAGACTGGGAGTGGAGCTCTACAGTGCCTGAGGCGTCTCTTAAGCACACTAAAGCCTGATAGATACAGTCATCCACCTCCTTTGAAGACGGAGGGATAAAGGAGATAGAGACAATAACATTAGTCTATCAAACACACCCACTGGATTGTAGAGAGGGGAGAAGAGTGTTGATGGATGGATGGATGGAAGAAAGAGTGAGAGGAAAAAGGGCAGTGACACGTACTGTACAGGACAGTGGGGATGAATGGAGGAAGAAAAAGATTGGTACAGAAAACCAGCTGGGCGTTGTAAAACTCTTCCATTTTGAAGGACAGATGTAACCAGTGAGATAATTTGAATTTTAACAGACAATACAGGCAACTTTTTGAATTTGAAAATGTTTAATCACAATGTAGTGAAAGTTTATACTGAGGTAAATTT